AGAAGTGCAGCAGAAAGAATAACAAAGTATGAAAGAAGAGAATAGAATAATAAAACAATAAAAAAATACGTTCACTCAGATGGATAATTACAGTTGTGATTTGCTGGGAGGGTGTTCGCCAACAAGATCGATACGTGATCACAGGGTTTGGGAGCTGGCTAGATCAAAAAGTTTTCGAGTTGACATCAGAGCAGTCCTGTAAGCTACAAGAGCTGGCTCACCTGCTATTTTATAATATAAAAATCTCCAAAAGAAACCCTGCTGGTCGTTTCGTTCAGCTTTCCAATGAACGATTTGTCTTCGTTGGTGACTGTGGCTAGCGCTAATGCAGAGCCCCCCTCCTGCTGGAAAAAGGACAACAAATCAACAAAATAAGAGCTTAAGAAGTAGTACGACTCACCTTTCCACTTTCAGAAAAGGAGTTGATTCACATTCCGCACACAACAGGTGTGTAGACATTTCTTGGGATAACCTGACTATTCTGAAAATCACGGGTATGTATATTCTAGTAGAGCTCAAAGAGCTTAATGCGAACACGATCAACTTTCTCCGAAAAAATTTCTAGTTCCTCCCAGATATCGGTAGGATGAACGCGTTTTCCAGGTGGAACAAGTTCTGAACAAAGTGAAAGTTCCCCTGCTCATTCGATTCATCTTCAAAACTCCTATGTAGTGCTAATTCAGAAGCTCGACAGAGACAAAAGTGGAAAGATAACCAGAGCAGAATTCATCCAAGGCTGTTTAAGCGATCCGAACATCATCACATCAATGGAAGTGCTCCGAAGTGTATGGTAAAAGAAGAAAATTGTAACACCCATTTTTCTCGAATTCAGTAATAAATATTACATCTGTTCCCCTCTACTGGTATTATAAGGTTTTGAATAAAGTGGACTTTGAGGGGCGAAAACTTTACGTTCTGCATAGGAAGGAAAAAACAGACCTACTGTTTCTTTCCAGAATTTTTTAAAATCGTTCTAGATAAGGTGCTACCAGCGCTTCCTTTAGTACTAGTACTGGTCAGTCGATTACTCTATGCCCACTATAGTGGAGAAAATGTTAAGAAGGGCAGCATTCAGACAGAAGGAAAAACTCGGCTTCGTCGATAAGTCCGAAAGAAAAACTTGGCTCAGAGAAGTTTACACGAACAGAGAACGCTCACTTTTCTTTTTCTCCCTAGTCGTTCTTTATGTCACAACTGTACACCTCGAATTTGATACACTCAGATCATGTGCACCAATCTTCCTTGCGACTCGCAAAGATTCTTAAGAATTCTTATCATCATTAAAATCAAGTGAATGGAGGGCCGCACCCCGCAAAATCAGCCTTCCTCCCTTTGCCATTTTTGTGTTTGGTTGAAGACGACAAACTGCTGGAATACAAGTTAGTACAAGTTGTTATGTGTAAAGACGTAGTAATAAAGCAAGAAATTCAGAAAGTTCGTTATCGTGAGAAGTTCCAGGAAGAAAATGTATAGGAGTGGTTCAGCCATCGAAAAGCACGAGTCATTAGGTTCTGATCCTGCTTAGGGAGGCAATCTCTACATAGTCAGGAAGACAGTTATGGCTACAGCTTGCCAAAGGTAACGGAAAGCCGTATTGAGCTCCGTACCAGTAGCCGTTTCACAGACCAGGCGCAATTGAATTCTGATAGCTTCAAGCTTTCGAGGAGCTTTCACCATTTTCCACCCACTGGGAACGTCTAGGTTGACCACTTTTAATTATTGTATGAACAAAGTTCTGAGGGAACTGTGATAAGGTAGTAAACACATCAAAAAAATCTAAATAATACTTAATAATAAGAGAGAGTCCGAAGATTTTTTCCTGTCAACGAAAATTAAAGATGATGGACGAGTTCCCCGAGGCTTCCTTTTTGATGACCAAAAGTTAGTAGTACTTGACGAAGTTGAAATTAAACACGAGATCCTGGGGTCGCAAGGTGTACATATCAGTGTCAACCATATAATAGTGCACCCACATTGTTACTACTGCCTAGAGGCGGAATTGCCATCAGGAGGCGTAACTGTCTAAGGCGTGTGACCAATCAGAGCCGTTCCCAAGGCACATTTAGCTGCGGAGTCGCTACATTTGGTACGCATTTTCCCAGTGCTTCATATGTTTCACCATATTGGTTGTGATCAAAGTAAATTTACAATAGCATACTGGAGCAGTACACTAGTGTAAAATACACTCAAGTTGTTGTACTTTGAACTTTTAGTACGAGTTTAAACTGTGACGTAAGCTCATAATGTACTGGGCAAAGAACCTCCATCCAGCGAACAGTTGTATGTACACATTAGAAAAGAATGCAGTTTTATTGAATAAAATTCGAAGGCATCGTCAAGAGTACGACCTCTACATACCCATAGTTGGACATAAATTCATCAAATACATCGATTTGATAGGTCCTTACAATCGATCGTTATCGATTTTGAGCAACGCATCAATATGCGTCTATAATTCGATGAAAAATATATATAATAAATGAAGGAGCGTGTCAGTGTACGCCTCTAAAGCGCATCATTGCCGTTCGATCTAAACACTATCTGACACTCACCTAGAATGAACAACAATAACAAATATTAGCTGTGTAAATTACACAAAACGGATGAATCGTCATCAACTACAAGTTACCTGTAAAGAGTAAAAGTAAACTACTATGTAACTATTCTAAATGCTCAGACGCAATATATCAACACTTGGATTTTCCTCGTCGTTTTTCCGCACCGTGGAATTGCTGTACGTATCGAACCCCCAAAGAGCTAGCGTCTGACCATTGTTTGAACGAATTCACATGTCGAAATAGACGTTGCTTTGAACGGCACCAGCTTTCTCCCAGAACTATCTGCAACAAATTCTAGTCACTAGTAATATAGTAGTACAAAAGTATAACGATAGCAGTAATCATAATATTTGATTTTACTTATGTTAGCATAAATCGCAGCCCTTCCGGTGTACGACTAGAGAATAAGATGTCTGCTTATTAGTCTTCCGACTTTACCTTTCAAATGCCTCCATAGTAAATGATGGAAGTCGAAGATGTGGCGCATTCCGCAAAACGCGGAAAAATGACCCCTCTTCATCCCTAGCCTATGCAAGCGGATCCTTCAACCTAAGCCGCTGTGAGCTGAACACCACCAGCTCCTCCTGAAAACCCGAAATGGCTAACGTTTCTCCTGCTGGCACTGCAGGCCATCTTATGGCCTGCCTTCGATTTCATTGACGTGGCATTGTAGAGTAGTCGATTCAGTATTCCTCTTGCCGTCTGCCCTCTCTCACTGCGTGCTATCTCTGCGTCTCTGTCCCAGGATACTGTGGACTTACAGACACTGTCTTGAGAATGAGAGCTTTATTTCTCAGCACTTCTCGAGAAACTCTTATCATTGCTTGGATGAGGGCACTTCCTTCATAAGTCTTCTTTGGATTTCGTATCTTTGGAATACTTGAGAATTTATTTCTCTCTGCTGTACATACTACTCTTTTTTCCTTTGCTGCTTCTCTTCGATATTCTTTGCAGCGTAGGCCAGTTCATCGATGCCCATATTGATTGAACGGAATCAGCTGAGTAGCGAGTGGCCATGTGAATTTTATAGATCAATAAGGGCCGTATCTCTATTTTGACCGGAATTTTCAAGGTTGAAAAAAAATTTACACCTAACTGTTGACACGTGGACCCCGTGACAACTGTCACTATTTACCTCGAAGTCATTTGATGGATGCTAGTCGTTGTCAGCGATAAAAACTAACCTGTAAACAGACCAGATCAATCTCCTTTTTCTGATATATCATATCAACAGCTACCGCATAGTGAATTAGTCGAGACAGATGATTGAGTTGTTGAGGCTAAACGAACGATATCATCAGGCAAAAACATTAATTGTTTCAAAAATAGATTTATTTATTTATTTAGCTGCTAATTACTTACATTACTGGTAACGACAAATTGTTTCAAGGCTGGAAACATAGGGCCAAGTGGTAGCTGACTTTTCATCATAGGAGCTATGGCCGTCTCTACGCATGTGAAATCTGTATCGCATTTCCGATTCTGACTGAAGAACAACAACAACGCGTTGATTTTTTTCGTGTTCACCTAAACAATAAGCAATAGAACCGCTGTAGAAAGTATATGAATTGATTGATGGTTACTATTACTTACTTCTTTGACGAGCATCTCAACGATAGGGCTATCCATATGGATATGTATCGCATTTTCACGGAACACTTGTAACAACGCTAACAGAATCCTGACATCTTTCCATTTTGGTCGTGAATCGAGGGCGATACCGAGTTCATGTCCACTCATTTCACTCAGCAAAAGACAACCTTCAGGATGCCAGCTGAGTTCGTCTAAAAGATAGATATTGATCGATGACATCATAGATGTGGCCTTATCGAAGATTGTTGCTTCTGATTCAGCTTCCGATTTCTTCATAGTTGTTGTGTGATTCACGTTTCTCACTCCGATTTCCTCTCCTCTGATTCACCCCAATCCAAAAGATAAAAAATGATCATTTTGTTTTGATTCACCCGTTTTCAACCATGCAATTAAAAGCAAAATACACTGGTACAGCCCGACACCGTAAATTTTGAATGGTACCTGTGGAGCAGTTACCAAAGCCTTCAACTCAGTTTGTGTGGTTACCAAGTTAGCCAAGTATTACCACAGTAATGGATTAACTTTACGGATACCAAGTAGTAATCCTTCAGTGCATGGTATCGGACTTGTTAAAATGTCCTATATCTTGAGCCGTAGGTAGCACATCTTGACGATAGTTTTTTCAATAGGCGGATACAGTAAACTTCTCCTTTCATCTACTTTTACCAAAAATGTAACTTTTCAAGAGCCCTTGAAAACTCTCTGATGTATTCATGAAACCAGTATACTTATGGGTAAGCAGTATGCCTGTAATCTGTATGAACTTTGAGCAAACTTGCCCAGACAAATGACCCAGAAACTATTTGTAAGAATTAAATTTGGCTTTCTCCTAGAGTAAATAGAGTTACGTAATTACTAGTATCATGACGCAGCTGCTCCTACATACTGCATTACGAAAACTCTGACTTTTACCAGTAGATAAACAATGTAAGGTGGTTGGAGAGGATCTGCAGGATGCCCAGGGTATCCGACTACAATGCAGAACTGATGTAACATTTGAATGGGTCTACGGAGCATACGGAACTTGCAGAGGCCTGGCCAAAGGATCGAGGCTTTTGGATAGACTCAGAAGTCAACTTGTCTGTCTTGACTACCTCAAAGACTGCCCACATAAGCTCTAAGTGGAGAAACGGGGACGTGGAGAACCCAAAGCCCGAAAGTTACCGTAACTCCCGAATGGGAGCATCAAGAACTCTGAGCGAATACTTTTCGGGATCCATTAGGATCGATCAATCACGCTTACCGGTGATTGTAATAGACGATCCGCGTTCATACAACTTGCACAGTCCATCGTAGACTCGTACATGGATGGTCGTGAACCTTGCCAAACGACGTAGGGCGGCTGCACGGAACCGCCTCGATACGCTACGCCATCGCAAAACGTCCGCCAACGATGCGTTCGCGATTAATCGCTCGGCTATTTCTGAAAAGCAGATACTCTTCAGTAAAGTAGTAAAGTAATAGTAGTCTCCAGTAGATTCAACTAGACTTTAATTACCTCGATGATCTGTCTGGGAACTGCTAGCAAACATTGAGCAGCATACCCGACGTAGGTTGTCATACACCGTGAGAGGAATGAGTGACATGCCCTAAATCGTACTCTCCAATAAAATGAGTAAGTTACCAGTAGTAACGACGGAAAACGATGATTCAAGAAAATGATAATGATGTATATGGACGACTAATATACGTAATGGCTGGTTTTTAGAACAGGAAAAACTGGAAAAATTAAAATCAAAAGGAATCGTGAAAGAAGGAGACCCATAAGGTCTAGACTGATAAGGAAGTTCCATGGGGGGAGTCATGCGATAAAAAACATATAAAGCAAAAGTTGGGTACCGTATGGGAAAAAAAGCTTGAGGATTGAAACAAAGAAAAAGGCGAAACAATGGACTGCGAGGGAGCGGAAACGGTTTTTGGTCCAGGTTCAACTTTTTGTACAGCCCGGTTTCGTTTTCCTTTCCTTTATTTCCATCTGAGAGCAATTTTGAGCGTTCAGCAGTGGGTATGGAATACTTCATGCTGTTCCATAGGACAGTAGAGGATCTAGGGGTCTTATAAAAGCATCGGGTTGTGGCCATATGGGTTAAGGCCTGCCGAGAATAACTTTTTGAGGGCATCTTCCGGTTTTCGTAACAGGTGTGATGGAATACGATGTGATGGGAGGAGGGTGGGGGGTATTGTCTTACCCAGGCCAGGAGGAGGTGTAGCAGCTACTAACAATAAGTGAGCTCCTCAGCAGTTTTAATAGTGACACAGCTGTTGTATTCGGCCACAGTGGAGTAAGATGTGATGCAGTTACTCTGCAGGTTGGTTTACGGTAATAATCGTGTCCGAAATGCCGTGAAATAGTAAAAGGCGGACGAAATGACGCCATTCCAAAGATCAACTTCACGACCAAAAAGTCAAAGATCATGGTCGCCCGTGAGATGGAGAATTGATTGATGGGAGAATTTGTCGCAGTCGCAAGCTGCTGGCCGTTGTCAGCCGACATCGCGATAAAATCAGTTAATATTCAGTAATAAATAACATCACAGTGGTTTAAAACTGTAACGGTAGTTTTCCTTGAAAACTAAAAAAACCGACTGCTTGCAAAGAACAGAAATCATTGGTGAATCATGGACGTCGTAAAGCCGTCCATCAAGTAAGGCTCTCGACGAAAACAACCCCTGTCAGCAAAAAGATTCTCACAACTGATGTGAAAACTTCATCTAAGCAGCTAGTAATGTAAGAGGATGATAAGATAAGTTTAGGACCACCTGCTAGGCCCTTTTTACCACCCCGGAGTAAAAGATAGATTTCAACAAAACGGGACAAAGGCAATGAAAGACGAGTCCATTGAGTATAATGGATCGGGGATCACATCACGAAGTAGGTCATTCCATCATTGAAAGGGATTCCTCCCCTCGAAAAAAAGGATGAAGAACATAGTGAGTGGCATTACTTCATGGAATCGATCAATACTTATTACCATAATACCCTAAATACTTATTCGTTGCAGGGAAGACGATCGGCGCAGTGGGGGATTCTACTACGTCATAGAATCGATCAATACTTATTACTACAACACCTACTTGGGGCAAAGAAGATAGTGGGTAGTATTACGTCATAGAATCGATCAATACCTAAACTCCCTGAAAGTTGTGATTGAGGACCTGATGGATACTCTAAGAAGGGAAGAAGCTCAGCGTCAAGCTTAGATTGCAAAAAGCTTAGAATTCGGCTGCAGTGGGAACTCGAAACGGGGATTTCGAATCCATCGAAAAGGGTGGTTTCAGGGAGACATAAAGCTTTGCAAATACATAACAAAAAGGTCAGTATCCGATCTCAAATAATAGGAGAATACAAGCACATATTTAGTGATATTTGGTGATACTGAGGAGAGGGATTGAATTTCATGGTGACAACATGTTTCTGTTCACATAGAACTACACTAGATGGACGTGGAATGCCGACAGCTGGGTGCTTTTCCGGCTGCAGATGTAACTAACGATTTTTTAATCAAAATTGATAGAGCCCCAATTTCGAGGTACTGTCAGAGAAAGGTTGGATCAGTCAGCAGAGTATAGTTAGTTGACGATAGGTACATAAAACATATGGGTGGTTCTGCTGCGATACGAATTCCCTCAAAAGCATAACAGCTGACTATGCTCGCACAAGGGAGCCGAGTTTGTGTGAAAAAGCCGTTAGAACAGCATCCCAACGATCGATGACAGACAAATGATCCAGAATGTATTGCTACAATGGATTGGATACAAAAAACATTGGCAGCATTCAGCTCAGTCAATCAGCTATTGGGCATCGGTGACGTACAGATTCGTCCTGATCGAACAGTGGGGGCTATAAAAGGTGCACACCAAAGGTGGCACCGACTGCTTGCTTCATGGAAGGTTTCTAGGCGATAAGTAAAGTTTACCATCCGTGTGATTGAAAGTGGCCAGAGGATCATCCTAAAAAGGAACTCAAACGGCTAAAATCTAAGTCTCATAAGTACTGAATGCAATGCGCACAGTCTAGTGTTGAATGGAGGCAGGTGTGCCTGGGTCCGCTTTCATTGGTTGTTCTACCGGGCTACTCAGTGATCCACCAATAGGAAGCGTGGGTCGCGCTGAAGATCGCCAAGCATCACGTTTGAAATCCTTCACGAAAAAGAATTAATACGTATTTTTGAAGTATTAATGAGAAAAAAGTTGATTAGTCATACAGATATGTACTTTTTGAGTGAGATTTCTATCTGAGGAGATGAAGTACCGGCTCATGCTGTTTGGTAGGAGCTATGAACTGATTTCTATAGAGTCTTAGACATTAAGTGAACGCCTAACCCGAAAGGATAGGTTGAAAAGGATGGCCTTGTGAGCCAACTTGTTAATTCGAAAAAGCGGATGTGTGACGTACCACTTCTCTCAAGAACTACCCGTTTCAAAGTGCAGCTGCGGGGCCCTCGAACAATATTTGAGTTGTAACATCGGCAATGAGTGAACAAATCAAATAGAAACGATTATTTGAACAAACTCGTAAATCCGGAAAGTATGGAGTAGATTTTGAAGGAGAGCCAAGAACGTCCAAGGAAATTCCGAAAGCCTAGGGACAACAAATCCCGATACTCGGGGCTCAATTAATCACTTATTGATTGATTTGTTTGCTGATGCAGGCTTCCGGTTGGGTTGTGTCTATTTGTACAGCCGTGCTGCCGATACATACAACGAACACCAAAGTGTTCCAAATTGAACGGAATCTGGACGAATCGACAAAGATGCTTAAACCAATTGCCAGAAATCGAATGTGAACGTCGTATTCACTTATGAAAGCGATCGTTTCAGAAATTATGTAAAAACTATATGCGCCGTTAAATGACGTCAGCGAAAAAAAAAACGGAGAAATTCGATCGAGTGACAAAGGAGACTGTCGGGCGTAGCGAATGCAATCTTTTGAATTCAATGCCGGCTGATCCCAAGGAACCCAATCGATATTCATTTCTTGTGTGGCCTGTGAGAACGCAGTCTGCTTTATGCAAATTGAGTTTCCACTAACCACACAAAGAGTACTCATTGATTGGGTTCTCTGGTATCAATTGCACTTTTTTTTCTGAAAATAACTCTAGATGGTTTTAATTTTTCGAGAGTATATACATAGCGCGATCATTACGGTGCACTCCACTCAAATTTACTGAATACAAATAATATGTACCACTGAAAGACTAATAACAAAGCGTTATTGCACTGTTCGATACTGTTCTTCAGGATGCGCCCTGTATTCAACTTCTATTCGTAATCGTAGTGGCGTTTGAATGCGTATCTGGCCTATACACGAATAACTCGATGCTTCTATCCTCTTAGATGAGCCTAGCCCTAAATAACTGACTAAGGAAGGATGGATGACCTGATTGGCCCGGGCGAATACCAGTATGGGATACGATCCGTGGATCAATGTGTGGTTCTGAGCCACTTGACACTACATCACCTCCGACACACATAAAACCGTTACTTCTCGAAAACTCGAACAGTAACGCATAAGGAAAAGGGCAGAACTCCAAGGAGAAAGGAGTTCGGATGGAGAGAATCCAGCGGAGTACACTGGCACGTTGCACAGATTATGAAAAAGAGACATTACTGGCACGAGCTTGAACAGCCAGAGCACAGGTGCTGCAGCTTAAACACGTGAACATGCAAAAAGTTTGAACACGTCAAAATGTGAAGATAGAAGAACAGAACAACCTCTGGACAACATTTCAGGGATAATCAATCGCGAAGTGTAAGCATATAGAAAAAGCCAAAATCAGATTCGAAAAACATCTTTGTTTGATGAATCTCCGGCTGATAGGCGTAAGAAATTTGAAGTGACAAGCTTTATGAAACATAATTTGCAAGTGTACAACCATGGGGAGACAGTGTAAAATCTAACTATTGGAACGAAATTAGGTAGAACTACAGTAAATCGAAGTAAATCATTCATCACGGGATCGTACTTGACCCACTCTTTACGTTCAATCAAATACTGCTCAGACAAAAAGTCAGTCCTCCATGTTCTCCGAGGGTTAATTAAGAAATTGGGCAAAGAGCTGGTAATTCGAACATTACTGCCACCGTTACAAGTAAGTAAGCAATCGAATGGTACAGCGATTCTGATAAAAGTCTACTACAAAGCAAATCACAATCTGAACAAACAATGTTGACCAGATTGTCCTTTTGTTTGTGGAGTTAGGACGCAGTACAAAAAGGTAATAAGCGATATGGGTGAAAGTCCAAAATAAAGGTCAAATTCTGGGAGAATTGGGAAGAAAATTGGCATTTGTAGTTCTTTAGAATATAAATTTTGTAGGGATTTGTTCAAGGACAATGCACTTTCAAGTAGGTTTCTGATGGGCATTCCGTCCCCTGTAAGGGCGATTCTGTCGTGACTGAAATTTCAAGAAATTTGACCTTTCAGCTACTTCATCTTGGAGGGCACTACTCAGTCAAGAGTATTCCGAAGATTTTCGATCGAATACGTCTTATACAGTGGAAGATTATTCACCTGGTTGTTTATTTGTGTGGTTTCTACTGCCAAGCACTGAACTGCGCCTTTTGCAGCAGAAATAAGAGCATTG